GACTCTTGATTTTGGCTCAGGTCATGATCTCAGGGTCGTGAGATGGAGCCCTGAGTAGAGCTGTGTGCGTCTCGGGTAGTCTGCTTTTCTCCCTCTCCCTCTGCCCCTCCCTGCAACTCATGTACACGCGTGCACTCTCTCTAAAATAACTAAATAAAATCTTTAAAGAAAATGGTTAAGATGAAAAATTTTAGGGCAACTCTCTCGGGTCCCCTCCCTCTTTGGGAGCTTTGTACTATCACTCCATAAACTTTGCTTTGCTGCCCACCAAAAATTTTTTTAAAAAAGATAAGTTTTGGGTGCCTGGGTGGCTCAGATGGTTAAGCGTCTGCCTTCAGCTCAGGTCATGATCCTGGGGTCCTGGGATCGAGTCCCGCATCGGGCTCCCTGCTAGGCGGGGAGCCTGCTTCTCCCTCTGCCTCTGCCTCTCTCTCTCTCTCTCTGACTCTCATGAATAAATAAATTAAAAAAACATTAAAAAAAAAAAAGATAAGTTTTATGTTATGTGTTTTTTACTATAATAATAATAAAAAAAATCTTCCTTATGATAATGATTTATGGTTTTCAGTGCCTCAAACTTCCAGGTACTTTCTTATAAATGTGCTTTTGTCTATCTCTGGGATCCAAAATCAAATATGGTTCCTAAAATGTATTCTCTTTAGCATAGAGTGGGATTACCATTATTCTCATTCTAAAGGATACATTTCTGTTCCTGTGGCCTGATATTACATGACCCTGAGGTGAGGCTAAAGGTGCTGCAAGCCAGGCAGTCATGGTGTACAGTGGGTGCATCTTAGATTTATCCCTTAGGTCTTGTTCAAACATGGACCCAAATGCAGCACTCTAGTATATCCCTTACAGCACTCATTTTATTAGATTTAGTCCAACTCTTTGCAGCCTATCATTATCTCTTTTGGTTCTGATTCTGTGGTGTCTTGTATTCACTATGCCTCCAAGTTTACAGTCAACCAGAAACTTGATATATTTACTTATTACAGCTTCAACGAAAGCCACTGATGAAAAGAAAAACAAAAAGCTAAAGGAGCCCCGCAACATACCACTGGGAACCTCTGTCTGGTCTAACACAAATTCATACCTTTTGGGTGTTCTAACCTACTGCTCCACTGTATACAACAAGATACTGAGAAAGACTTTATTAAATGTTTTTCTGAAAACTATTTTATGTCAACAAATGCCATGAAAGAAATATGCAAAGAGAAGCACATGAATGTATTTCTCTATTGCTTTCTCCAATGTACTGTTGGCCGTTTTTTGGTTTACTTTTTATTTTGGAGTAGAGATTCACAGGAAGTTACCAAAAAAAATACATAGGAAGGTCCCATATACCCCTCACCAGTCTTCCCTGGTGGTTAATATCTTGCATAACTGTAATATACCATCAAAATCAGGAAATCGACAGTGGTACAATTCAAAGCTTATTCAGATTTCACTGTGTGTTTCTGTGTAAGCACACACATGTGTGTATAGTTCTAAGCAATTTTACCACCTATGTAGTTTTGTGTCACCACCACCACGTTCAAGATACAGAGCTGTTTGAAACAGACTCATAAATACAGAGAACAAAATCGTGGCTGTCAGAAGGGAGATGGGTGAAATGAGCAAAACAGGTGAAGGGGATCAAGAAGAACTTCTAGTTATAAAATAAATTATTCACAGGGATGTAAGGATGTAAAGTACAGCACAGGGAAAATGATCAGTAATAACTGTAATAACTTTGTATGGTGATGGATGGTAACTACACTTACCATGGTGAGCATTTCATAATGTATATAAATGTCAAATAGCTATGTGGTACACCCAGAACTACTATATTGTATGTCAACTATACTTCAATAATAATAATAATAATGATAATAATTTTAAAAAGATACAGAGCTGTTCCACAGCCTCCAATGTTACATCCTGTTATTTAATAAATAATTGGGATGCCTGGGTGGCTCAGTTGGTTAAGCGTCCAACTCTTGGTTTCAGCTCAGGTGATGACTCTGGGTCCTGAGATGGGACCCCGCATCAGGTTCTGCACTTAGTAGGGAGCCTGTTTGGGGATTCTCTCCCTCTGCCCCTCCCCCTGCTTGTGGGCACATGCATGCGTGCACACTCTCTCTCAAATAAATAAATAAATCTTTAAATAAAATAAATAACAAAGAAGCACATCTATTACTCTCACAAAGTTGCATTAATACTTTGGCAATTGGGGCGCCTGGGTGGCTCAGTTGGTTAAGCGACTGCCTTCGGCTCAGGTCATGATCCCTGAGTCCCAGGATCAAGTCCTGCATCGGGCTCTCTGCTCGGTGGGGAGTCTGCTTCTCCCTCTGACCCATTCCCCTCTCATGCTCTCTCTCACACTCTCAAATAAATAAATAAATAAATAAAATCTTTAAAAAAAAATACTTTGGCAATTGTATTTTGATATAATTGGTTTCCTTTATAATCCTATGTATTTGATTTTATGCTTTCAAAGTATTCTGAGAGGCGCCTGGATGGCTGTCGTTAAGCGTCTGCCTTCGGCTCAGGTCATGGTCCCAGGGTCCTGGGATCGAGCCCCGCATCGGGCTCCCTGCTCGGTGGGAGGCCTGCTTCTCCCTTTCCCTCTCCCCCTGCTTGTGTTCCCTCTCTTGCTCTCTCTCTGTCAAATAAATAAATTAAAAAAAAAAAAAAAGGATTCTGAGATGGGGTCAGTAGGATTCACTAGACTGCCAAAGGAATTCATGACTTAAAACAAGTAGAGGGCGCCTGGATGGCTCAGTTGGTTAAGCGACTGCCTTCGGCTCAGGTCATGATTCTGGAGTCCCGGGATCGAGTCCCGCATCGGGCTCCCTGCTCGGCAGGGAGTCTGCTTCTCCCTCTGACCCTCACCCCTCTCATGCTCTCTCTCTCTATCTCATTCTCTCTCTCAAATAAATAAATAAAAAATCTTAAAAAAACCACAAAAAAACAAGTAGAGTCCCCCCTACCCTCAAAAGTAGAGCCCATGCTAGAGAAGGAATTCAGGTAACAGGTATGATTTGGTCTGATGACCTTTAAAGTCTCCTCTAATCCTGGATTAGAAAAGCAAGCATAGTTTCATTCTGTGCTTTCATAACAGCACAGAACGTCTCTTAATGGTCTTCTCCTTAACCAACTCACTTGATTCACCGATTCTCTCCCTCCCTTTGCAAATCGTTCCAACTGATGTGGTGGCACACTGCGTACTCGTAGCTAATGGGCAACACCTAAGTGTCTACTCCACCAGCTGCATTGGATGTTCACCAAGAGTCAGGTGTATACACTGCCCTACAAGCTATTTGTATTGTTAATAAGAACTATATATAATTAATAAACAATGAAACATGTACGTGAAAACAAAGTTACTGTTTCGTGAAATTTAGATCGATTACTTCTGAAAGACTCAAAATTAAGTTACTGGAAAAAGAAAACAAACACCTGCTGCTAACATAAAGTGTGGCAGAATAAGTGTAAGAGATTGAGGAAAAATGTAAACAACAGAAAGATTCTATTTTTGGAATGCTTTACGAGTATCTTTAAGCTCTTTTTCCACTTAAAAGAAACTGCAACCAGAAACCTCAGATTATACATTATAAATGTGCTCTGTATAAAAAGTTACACGACTCCCATAAGCAGACTTTCATGAAAACAGATAAAACCCAAAAACTCTTAGTCCCACACCAAAAGATTGGACAGTGAATGTGTTTTTAAATATTTTAAGGTAAATTAAAAAAAAATGAAATCTTGCCGTCTGCAACGATGTGGATCGAACTAGAGGGTGTCAAGCTAAGTGAAATAAGTCAATCAGAGAAAGGCAATTATCATATGATCTCACTCATATGCAGAATTTAAGAAACAAAACAGAGGATCATAGGGGAAGAGAGGAAAAAAAAAATAAAACAAGATGAAATCAGAGAGGGAGATAAACCTTAAGAGATTCTTAATCATAGGAAACAAACTGAGGGTTCCTGGAGGGGACGATGGGGTAACTGGACATTAAGGAGGGCACTTAATGTGATGTAATGAGCACTGGGTATTATAAGACTGATGAATCACTGACTTCTACCTCTGAAACCAATAATACATTATATGTTAATTAATTGAATTTAAATAAATATTTTAAGGTAAAATAAAATATTAAACCCTGTATCCTCTTCTGTGATTCTATGCTATACCTGGCTTTTTCAATTATTATTTAAGCCCTGGTCTGACAACACTGAGTAAGAAAATTTCTATTATGCTAATGTCAGAATCAGGCAAACTTGGCTTCGAAGACCTCTCTGTATACCACTGTGCACTCTTGCAACAGAAGCCTGGGCTCAATCAATGCAATACAATTTCCATTTCCATTTCAACTTGTGTTGGAATGAAAAGAGAAATTCAATTTCAATTTCTGGAGAAGCATTGTAAGGGATTGGGCAATCCCATACATGAATCAACAAGGGCAGAGGGAAATCTAACAAACAGCCAAGGAAAGGAGGCAAGAGGCATGGGGACAAAAGTTAAATCTTGCACTAAGCCAGCTGTCTAAGCCTACTTGAGTCACATCCAGTATCCATCAAATTCTAAGATCAGTTGAGACTGCCATTCTTCCTTAAACATGGGTCTAGGTCTTATTCACTGTTGTTGCTCTAGCATTCACCGCACTGCCTGGTGCATGGTAAGCATTCTATGAATTTTAAGGATAATATTAGCAGCTAAGTTCTTATTGCCGGGTACTTCACATACTTTAACTCATTTAATCATCACAACATCCTTATGCAAAACCCCTTAACATCCCATTTTACACAAGAGGAAACCAAGGCCCAAAGATTTTAAATAATTTGCCCAAAGTCACATGGCTAAAAAGCAGCAGAGCTGGGATCCGAACCCAGTCCGTATAATTAATCACTATGCTCTTGTAAATACTTGCTCAATGAATGAATGAGTAAATAAATGATTTGTAAATGCAAATAAAAGCAAATATTTTAAGCCAGAAAACTTTATCTCCTTACAGTGCAGTTTGTTGCTTCGGCTATTGAGTGGTTCTGGTCCATTCACATCTTTGCTCTTTTCGTTATCCTCAATAGGTCGAAAATGAGCCAAAGTTCTCATGAATCCACGGAAGTTTACCTGGTCCTCTCTGATTGGGAAACAGAATAAACAGAACACCATCTCAATCAGGGTGATTCTTTCTTATGAATCCAATATATTGGCAACAGTTTTAGCTAGAGTGGCCTGAAAGTCCATTTAATGAGGTCTTTCCCCATATGCACGATTCTTTAGGACTCATAAAATACCTTCATTAAGCATCACCCCCACCTTGTGAGGTAGGTATTATTTTTCCCACATTATAAATGATTAATCAGACTTAGAGAGGTAACAGAACTCAGCAGAGTTACCTACTCAAGTTCCTTGTAGCTCTTTTCCCAAAAGGGATTTCAAGTAGCACTAGGGCTACACTATCAGGCAAGCCAGCACTTGAAATCACTGCTTCAAACTCTATAACAAGCAGTAAAAATTAGCTGTCAACCCAATGACTTCCCAGCCCACCTCTCATGTTTCGCCTGCACTCACATACACCTAGTGATATTTTAAGGTTGAATTATACTATGGAAATGCAGCTTTTAAAATAAATATTTTGCTATAAAAGCAATAAATACATTTTTGGAAATTTGGGGGGGAAAGTAGAAAGAAAATACCACTCCTAGCTCTAGCAATTACTATTACTGTTAATATCTTTTCTTTTATTCATTTTTCTATGCTTTTTGGATAATTGTGAACATACTGCATACACAATTTCCTATCCTGTTTTTTTAAACTTTTAAGCATGTCTTCAATCAATATAAACACTTTGAAACATTTTAAATGTCTGCAAAATAATTGTGTTACTTATTATGATTTTATTATCCCCTCACAATTGGATAGATTTCTCATGATCATAATGTTGGGAAGACTCTTGTATAAACCTTTTCTGGTACTTAAGACTAGAAAAAATCTTTCTATTGTGCCACAGGCAAATCAGTAACCCTGTGAAAGATTATTTCTAAAACTTGAATGAACAACATACTTCAAAGAATAACCAGTGTGACATAGTTATTTATCTATGGCAATCATGGAAAGAACAAGTTGCGTGGTTCCTGTGACTACCTAAAAGTAGATTCCAGTCTTTTATTGCACCACTGAATCGTTGTGCTATGTCAGGTCTCTTAATGCCAGGCAGACACACACATCAGACTTTCTAAGGGTGGATTTCAAAAGCTAGCTCATGAGCCCACTGTACTCAAAAGAATGACTGTTAGTTTTTCAAGTTAGCTAGGTTGCTAATGGAGCAGTAGATCTGAGGAATCAAGTAATGTGGAATAAGATTTGAGTCATATGCCAGAACAACAGATTAATGAGTACAAATATTATTGCCATTGGTCTGAGTAAAAGGAAACTAAATATCAATGCTCCACTTTCAAATCTCATTAAAAAAAAATTCCACTTGCAGAAGACTAGATAGAGAAGAAACAAAAAACCCAGAAACTCAATATCTGTATCTTATTAGAGTAAGAAGCAGAAGTGCAGCTTGCGGAGAGCTTAGTAGTGTAGCCCAGTGCAGGCCTCAGCTTCCTCATGTACACCTGCCTAGTGTCCTCAGCAGAACATTGCATAGGACAGCAGGTGACACTGCAGTCAAAACCGCTTCCCACAAACTGCTTTTTCTAATAACCAACGGTTACTACGGAATTCTGAAAAAAATGTTGGCAAAATGACTCTACTGGGTTTACTTTTCATTGCAAAGGTTTGGATACAAAGCATAGATGTGTAAGTTATCTCCGAACAGGGTCAATGCTCTGCATGGGCTAAGGAGGAAGTAGGAAAAAAACGCAAGATTTCAGCACAAAAACCACACCTGAAACAAACAGGGCAGTTCACGGAGAGAAAAAGGAGAAAATGAAGATGGGGGGCAGGAGATTCCTCATGGTCAACACAAATCTGAAGAGAGCAGGTCTGTTTGATTCAATTCCTATCTTCACACAAACTAGCTGCTAGTCTTCCGCCTCTGTCACTCAGCTTTACTGAATGCCCAAATTCTCAACTTGCAAATTCTTTTGCTCTCAGTTTAGAGTTCTAAAATTTCCTCTTTCCATTTTATCTGATAATATCTTCACTGACATTTAGTCTCATTATTAAGAAATTGGCAACCACTGAACTTTTTAAAGTCTTTGGGTCATACAGTAAGTCAAAGGAACCAGGAAGAAACTGTTGAAGAGATTACTTAAAATAATATAACATAATAAAGCTTTATTCAGAAAAAGGTACCTAATCAAATTGATAAATATTTACTCAGTACTCTGAAGTCAGTGTATTAGGTAGTGAAGCATATCAAAAGCCTAGTTCTACATTAGACAAACCCAAGTCTATTGACAAACTGTGTGTGTGGTGGAGGGGACTGTATCCTTAGCCAATGTTGTAAAAGAAAAATAAAGGCTGTGGAAATGTTCCACATTAAAGGAGGCCAAAGAAACATGACAACTGACCCAGCCTGGATCCTGTACTGGACAGGGGGAAAGTGCTATAAAGGAGATTAAAACAGGAATATGATTGATATATTAGAATAAAATAGACAATGGGAGAAACAGGTGAAGGTGGTCAAAGGGTACAAACTTCCAGTTATAAGATGAGTAAGTTCTGGGGATGTCATGTACAGCATGACAGACTATAGGTAACAATATTGTGTTGTATATTTCAAAGTTGCTAAGAGAATGGATTATAAAATTTCTCATCATACAAAAACAGTAACTATGTAAGGTGATAAATACATTAACCTTACTGTGATAATCACAATATGTACATACATAAAACCACTGTGCTGTATACCTTAAACTTACACAATATGACAATTATTTCTCAATAAAGCAGGAAAAAATAAAATACATAATATTTTACATTAGTATTACAGCAGCTGATAGGTGTTGTAGGTGTAAATTACACAAAAGATTTCAAAGACTTAATATTAAGAAGAATGTAATATATTAGTAATTTAAATATATTGATTATATATTAAATGATAATATTTTAAATACATTAGATAAATAAAATATATATATTGACAGGGTTAACTTGTTTTTTACTTTTTTTATGTGGGTACTAGAAAATTTATAATCCTGTATATGATGATTAAATTTCATTGGCTGGAACACAAGGAGACAGAGAGCACATGCCAATGAGGCAAAAGGTTAACAATGTAACAATAGATGCATCCAGGTGAAAGAAATACAGGAATTCTTTGTATTATTTTCAATTTTAGCAACTTTTCTATAAACCTGAAATTATTTCCAAATAAAAGTTTTAAAAAATTTTAGTTTTACATTAAAGCTAAACAGCGATTAAAGACAGAATTTTGAAAATAGGCTCATATACCTATTTGAAGAGATATTCTAGATACGACCAAGTTAAGGATGCCCAATATAATCAGGAGGATCGTGGTTTAAAATGACCCAACCAATAACATTCCAGATTTGCCTCAGAAAGGAAGCCAACAACTGCAGGGACTCACCCCTCTGGAAAGAAGGCATTGATAATCCGGTCCCCCAATGGGTTGATGGCAAGTTCTGGAATTCGCTGGAAATCTTCTCGGCTGCCAAGAGAATCACCTTGAGTTAGAGACTACTGGCCCTTAGCAGAAACTCATTCAGTCATGCAAGAGTACAACCTAGCAAGAATATTACCTCGTGGAATTTACTTCTGTGGCAAATTATACCAAATAACTGCAAAGAATAGCACTTTAGCAGCTGCCAAGTGTTTCCTGCACCAACTCAGGAGTGGAAGAAGCCAGATTTGACTATGCCACATTCCAGTGAATTCAGCACACAAGTTACGTCAATAAAACAACTAACAAGCAAATACTGAGCTGTCCCTGTAAATCATTCTTTGAACATTACCATTTTGTACTTAGTTATTAAGTTTGGAGAGTGAACAGCAATGCAAACTATCAACACCACAGAGCCTGTATATAGTAGCAAAAATCCTGTACCCTTGGTAAGATCTACAACACCTATGAAATGCAAGGAATTCTTAAGGCAATGTCCAAGGAAAGAATAAAAGTGTGACAACTAATTGATTTCCATCCTTCCTTGCTCTGATTCTGGCCTTTTCTCCATTTGCCTTCCATAGACTCAGACCACAGAAGTATTTAAGCCTTGAACGTGGCAAGAGCAGTCATCCTCTCACAACTTGGAAGTTATGCTGAAATGAATATTATTAGTCACCATTCATTGTACACACATCATGTGCCGCTCTGGGTATACACATTATCTCATTTCTTCAGGCCAACATTTTATCTGTACCCTTTTCAAGTTGAGGAAACTGAGAGTCAGTGAGATAAAGTAACTTGCCCAGTGCTATGAGCTAGTAAGTGGCACAACTCGGATTTAAATCTAAATTTAAATTTAAGTCACAGCACATGTTCTTTTTTCTAAAAAAAAAAAAACAAAAAACCCCCACATTTCTGGGGCGCTTGGCTGGCCCAGTCGGTGGGGAGCATGACTCTTGAGTTTGAGGCCCATGTTGGGTGTAGAGATTACTTAAAAAGAAAATCTTAATAAATAAAATAAAATGGAATGAAATAGAATAGAATAGAATGATTAAAAAACACAGGGCGCCTGGGTGGCTCAGTCGGTTAAGCGTCTGCCTTCGGCTCGGGTCATGATCCCAGGGTCCTGGGATTGAGTCCCACATCAGGCTCCCTGTTCTACAGGGAGCCTGCTTCTCCCTCTGCCTCTGCCTCTCTCTTTCTCTCTCTCTCTCTCTGTCTTTCATGAATAAATAAATAAAATCATAAAAAAAAAATCCACACACTTCTTGGGGTGCCTGGGTGGCCGAGTTGGTTAAGCATCGAACTTCAGGTCAGGCTATGATCCCAGGGTTGAGGGATCCAGCTGCACCAGGCTCTGCACTCAGCAGGGAGTCTCCTCCAGGTTCGATCCCTCTCCCTCGCCAACCTCCCTTGCTCTCTCTCTTTCACTCTCTCAAATAAATAAATAGATAAAATCTTTTTAAAAAATTATTCATTTATTTTAGAAAGAGAGCGAGAACACAAGCAGGGGGAGGGGCCGAGGAAGAAGCAGACTCCCCACTAAGCAGGGAGCTCAACTATGGGCTCAATCCCAGGACCCTGGGATCACACCCTGAGCTGAAGGCAGATGCTCAGCCAACTGAGCTACCCAGGTGCCCCAATAAATAAATAAATAAACAGACACACACACACACTTACTTCTTTCCCATATTAAACATTCTGAAAGAAAGATGCTCTCCCAAAAAATATTCAAAAAGTGTTTTCTAAAAACTTCTTAGTTTATATTCTGTGCCAAGAATATAAAGCTGTCTATAACATATCTGTGCTGTACTCCTCAAAAATATGAATGTCATGAAGGACAGAGGAAGGCAGAGGATTGTTCCAGATCATAGGAGACTAAAAGACATACAACTGAACTCAATAATGATCTAGGCTAGGAATTACATTGCTACAAAGGACATTACTGAGCCAATAGGTAAAAATGGAACACAGGCCATACAGAATATGGAATTATATAATAGTACTATAACAAAACGAAATTTCTTGACTTTGACACAAGAATGTCACACTAAGGTATGTGGCAAAATATTAACAATTGATAAATCTGGGTATCAGGTATGTGGAAGTTCTTTGTATTATTCTTGGAACTTTTCTGTAAGTTTGAAATTATTTCCAGGTAAGAAGTAAAAAAAGAAGAAAAATAAAACTCAAATGAACCTGATTCTTGCCTTCAAGACGTTTACTAACAGAAGAGATAAAACTTACTCCTCTACCCCCTTTTACCAAGTGCTAGTGAAATATCCTTATTTTAATTAATTTATTTTTTTAATCTTTTTTTTTTTTAGATTTATTTACTTATTCGTCAGAGAGAGAGCACAAGCAGGGGGGAGCGGCAGGCAGAGAGAGAAGCAGGCTCCCCGCTACACAAGGAGCCTGATGCGGGACTCGATCCCAGGACACTGGGATCATGACCTGAGCCAAGGGCAGATGCTTATCCGACTGCACCACCCAGGCATCCCAATATCCCTATTTTATCCAGAAGTCTTCAATACTCTGTTTCTCTTAGAACGGTTTAACATTTAGATGGTGCTGAATTAGTTCAAGAAGCTCATCTTCAATACATCTGGTGGTGACACAGGTCAAAACTGACCTGGGTGGGCGCCTGGGTGGCTCAGTCGTTAAGCATCTGCCTTCAGCTCAGGTCATGATCTCAGGGTCCTGGGATCGAGCCCCACATCGGGCTCCCTGCTCTGCGGGAAGCCTGCTTCTCCCTCTCTCGCTCCTCTCTTGTGTTTCCTCTCTCGCTGTCTCTCTCTGTCAAATAAATAAAATCTTAAAAAAAACTGACCTGGGACTAAATGTAAAGCTCTGGAACAATAACTCTGAATTCTAATCTTCCTTGATCACTTCGGGTAGTAATTTTTACATCAGTGAATGAACCAGAAGAAGCCATTGCTTAAGATGGTAAAAGATGGGCGCCTGGGTGGCTCAGTTGGTTGAGCGACTGCCTTCGGCTCAGGTCATGATCCTGGAGTCCCGGGATCCAGTCCCACATCGGGCTCCCTGCTCAGCAGGGAGTCTGCTTCTCCCTCTGACCCTCCTCCCTCTCATTCTCTCTGTCTCTCATTGTCTCTCTCGCAAATAAATAAAATCTTAAAAAAAAAAAAAAAAAGATGGTAAAAGATAAAGGAAATTATGAGGTCCTGATTATTTGATTCCACAAACATGTACTAAGCTCTTATTACATAACTCGTTCTGTAATACAAAGTCCGCATTATCACCCAAAGGGGTTCCTCTTCTTTGACAGAGGTTAAGAAACAGTAACTACTCCCTTTTAAATGAAGATTAAGGCTCATTTGAATTGCATAGCCACATACCTCAGCTTAATGTCTAACAAGCTGGAGTAATTTTAGCTGAGAAAAGGCACAGTTTAAATACCAGGTCTAATATCAAGTGGTGAGTACACAACCTAGCCTGAACTTCAGTCTCAAAAGGGATCTAGTCTTGGAATTCCAATGTCGGTAAGACCTAAACTTGTCCTTTGACACTTTTTTTCTTAACTCTACTCTTGGAATTTAGATGCAGTTCTGTAAGACCAAGAGGAATACTGTTGATAGTATCAAAATTAAAATGAAAGAGTACAAAACAATAGTTTGTAAACTGCTAAACAATACAGTTTGTTATTATTAGTTGTTCTATAGTAGAATGGAGATCATCTGGGCAATTTTTCTAAAACATAGCTTAAATTTGTCCACTAACACGAACCTAATAGAGAAAAAATATAGACTCTAAGCAGTTTACACACAAGTAAGATTTGTTCAAAATTTGTGTGTACTCATAAAAAAAGCATGCCAATATTATATTTTACCTTATAGTATACCTAGGAAAATCTTCCTCAAAGATATTTTTTTCCCCTCAAAGATATTGTAAGAAAAGATATTACACCTAGAAGTAGACAAGTCTAAGAATAGAATCATATATAACAGCATTCTTTGTGGCCAAGAAATTCCCAGTGAAGAGTGGTTTTCCAGACCTTCACAAGCACAGGGATGTTTGAGAGACCTATAGTAACCAGAAGTGTCAGCCGTCTACACTGATCTTCACTATGCAGGTTCCTTCTCGTACCTGGAAAATCAGCCTCAGTTAACTGTTCATATTTCAGGCCCCAGGGTCGATGGTGAGATGACTTATGCATAATGAGGACATTAAAATCTGTTAAAAGGACATACTTGTGGGAACACATTCAATTAAGAAAAGTGTTCCAGGGCCGCCTGGGCGGCTTAGTCGGTTAAGCGTCTGCCTTCAGCTCAGGTCATGATCCCAGAGTCCTGGGATCAAGTCCCACATCCGGCTCCTTGCTCAACGGGGAGCCTGCTTCTCCCTCTGCCTGCCGCTCCCCTTGCTTGTGCTTTCTCTCTCTCTCTCTAAGAAAAGTGTTCCCTATTTAAGTGATATAATAGAAATAAATAACTTATTATTTAGATTTAACATGGAAATGATTTCCATTATTTGAAGCATTTAATTAATATTTTATTTATTTATTTTTTAAAGATTTTATTTATTTATTTGACAGAGAGAGACACAGCCAGAGAGGGAACATAAGCAGGGGGAGCGGGAGAGGGAGAAGCAGGCTTCCCGCAGAGCAGGGAGCCCGATGTGGGGCTCGATCCCAGGACCCTGGGATCATGACCTGAGCCGAAGGCAGATGCTTAACGACTGAGCCACCCGGGCACCCCAGCATTTAATTAATATTTTAGTTTATTTATATTTTTTAGTAATCTCTACACCCAACGTGGGGATCCTTTTTTCTCTACCTGCTCCCCTCCACAAAGGGTAATCATTATGCTGACTTCTAACATCATACATTATATCAGTACAGAAGATATTTGTTTTTCTTTAAAGGTTTATATTTGAGAGAGAGAGAGAGAACGCGCTAGCAAACACTAGAGGGGTAGAGGGAGAAGGGGCGGAGGGAGAAGCAGACTCCCTTTCCCTATGTGAGGCTTGATCCCAAGCAACCTGGCATCACGACCTAAGCCAAGGCAGACACTTAACTGACTGAG